ATCTCTGCTGATTTAGGTGGCTTCCAAAAGATTAGCACCACATGATCTCCATTCGCTGGCCCATTGTTTCTCACACCAATGACTAGAACAAGTTGCAAATTGGTGCAGTTTACACTCGAAACATCAATGGCTTGGCCATTAGGATAAGGGTCTTGTTTGGAGGAATAAACAGAGGGAATGCCACTTGGATTAAGAAAAGATTTCAATGGAACTAGTAAGGTAGAAGGAGCAGAAATAACAAACTTCGAGAAAGTTGAGTAGCTTAGTCCATGGCCAAATTCATATAATGGTTTTCCAGTGTAGAACCTGTAGGTTCTTCCAGGGAAGTTATCAGTTGCATTGGCTCTTAGGTTCATGTTTGTCATTGGCACTTGATCGGAGTACTCTTTTGGATACCATGTAAAAGGAGACCTCCCAGCTGATAAGATGAAGAGATTGTCAGTACGAAGGTGGTAATTTGTAACCTTTGTCTTGGCTAGAAACAGATATAAATGGGTAATAGAATGCTCAAACATGAGATGCAGAAAATTATGTGGTTTGGAAATTGAAATAGAAAGATTACCAGGATTGTGGTCTCCAAATATGACCTGAGCTATGGCATCTCCTCCAGCTTGACCAGGGTAGCCAACCCACAAAATCCCTCCAACCTTGCTCTCATTCTTGGCAAAAGAGATATCGACAGGACTAGCAGACATTACAACAAGAATCATTGTTCCATTTGTAGCATTAGCCACATCCTTCACAAGTTTTTCTTGATATCCTGGCAATATCAGGTTCTCCCTATCCAAGTCCTCTTGCTCTATAGATTGATCATGCCCCATCACCAACACCACCACATCTGCCGTAGCAGCAGCCTTAGTTGCTGGCCCAGCAAGCGATTCATCAGTGCAATTCATGAATGGACACCCGGCTGCATAGGTGACAGATGAGATGTACTTCTGCAGTCCTTGTAAAGGTGTAGTGTATTCACAAGGTATACCAGCATAGATGCTTATCATAGCCACGGTAGCATTACCATTTGGTCCTATAACAGCCAAGTTTTTTGTGGCGTTTTTAGACAAAGGAAGAGCTCCCTTATTGTCTAGCAAGACTATCCCTTGCTTTGCAGCATCAAGCGCTAGCTCTTGATGTTCTTCAGTACATACATCTGATGGTCCAAGATTTCCAAATGGGTGCAATTTTGGGTCCCCGTCAAAGAATCCAAGTCTCATCAGGACTATATAATTGTAGATTAAGGCTTGGTCTACAATAGATTCTTCAATTTTGTTTAACTTGACTGCATTCTCTGTATACCTTGGCAAAAAATCTCCGCAGTTCATGTTTAAACCTGTATTACATGATCATTATAAGGTATCAATACTCAAGAAGAGTTGGAATCTTCAATTTTCAGACAGTCATCAAGGATTCTTGCAAGTGCATTGTATGTGTACCTGCTTTTAAGGCCAGGGTTACTGCATCTTCAGGTGTGGCTGCATATTTGATTCTGTCATAATAAACCTCAATGGAATCACAATCTGATACAATATATCTGCCCAAAAACGCACAAAACAGAAGTTAAAACATGAAAAATATAAATCAGAAGAAAAAAGTTCCTATTTTCCTGTTACTTGATTCAGTACTCATATATGCCTAGGAAAGAAGTAGAAGTCAACAAACCCGTCAAGATTCCATTGTTCTCTGATAACCCCTTTAAGCAGGTCTGGATCGGCACAAGTAGGAATGCCATTAACCCTGTTATATGAACACATCACACCACTCACACGACCCTCCTCCACACAGCTCCTAAATGGCGGTTGAAATGTGTCCTCTAGGTCCTGTTTTGTCACCTTCAAAGCAAAAATAGCGTTGTTCTCAATATTGTCATTGGGAAAGTATACCACAGTTGAAAGAAAGAATTCATCAAGAAAGTTATCTGCTGGCCATATTAACACATTGATGCAGTGAAAATGGTAGTTCATATCCAAGATTCACTCATACCTTGGCATCAAAGTGAAATCGATCGACACCTTTCCATTTGTCAAGGTCATATGCAGTATAATGCTTGCAGCAACTCGATACCTTAAGTCTATTTCCAGTGGAATTTCCTTCCTCGCCAACTTCTTGCAAGCCCCTAACATAATTTACAGCATATTTTGACACCACCAGAGGATCCTCCCCCGGTGTCTCTTGGCCCCGACCCCACCTTGGGTCTCGAAACACATTAATGGTGGGACTCCAATATGTTAACCCGGCTAAACCGACATTATACATGGCCCGGGCCTCAGTTGACACCACTTGTCCCATCTTAAACCATAATGTTGTATTAAAACTAGCAGCGGACAAAATCACAGCTGGGAAGCTAGTGGCACCTGGTACTGTAGCATTAAAATGTACACCATAACCGACACTTGCCACGCCGTGAAGTGCCTCAGACCACCACTCGTAAGCAGGGACGCCTAGACGGGAAATCCCAGCAGCATGATTTCCTAGTTGTTCCGCCTTTTCTTGTAACGTTAAGCGTGAGATAAGATCCTTGGCTCTGTTCTCGTATGACAGGGATGTGTTACAGAAGGGAAACTGTCTCGTTTCAGGAATGTTCTTGTCACAAGCAAAATTCTGAGCAAAACAAGGGACTGTTAGGAGCGACGAAAGAAGAAGTGCTAGGAAAAGTTGGATATTCATGGTTTTTTTTTTACAGTTCGTTTTGTTTATTTCTTTGCATTATTAGCAATTGGCTAAGGTTTTATAGCTGAGGCTTAGCCTTGATGTCACCAACATGGTTTCTATGCCAATTAGATGGTTTGCTTGTTGATTGAGGTATATAGATAGGATGGGGCATTAATTTGACCGATTCCTTCCTAGTTTAAGATGTGATAATGTTAGGATGCTTAGGAACAACAAAAGCTAGTTTGTGGACAATGATAGGGTCCCAAATTTATTTCGGGGACAGTATAAACTTACATATACCTCCAGCATCAGTTTTTTGGAGTTATTACAGAGCACGAAAAGCAGACTGTCATTCTTTAATCTATCCCTTTCTTTTATTTTCTTATTCGATTTTCTTAGCGTGGAGAGTCTTTTAAGCAAAGCATTAGAGAAGCCTGGCCATGAAAATTATCAGCTGTCTTTTCGAGGCCTACGTTGTGTTTGGGGATTTGGCTGTTCTATGCTGACACATTCTTTCGCGGGATCACTTTCCCAAATGCACCCTTGCAATCCGTATTGAAATTAGAGGTTTTCACTATGTAACTCTGACCTCAACCAATCAAATTGGACCACATCTCAACATACTTTATTAACTTCTCAAAATAATCAAGCCAGGGAGGCAGTATGATGACAGACATCATGATTTTTTGTTATTTTAACTCTGCAGTAAGGAAGCGGCTTGATCTTGGCTTGGTATAATATAAAGCAAAAGCGTCTTACTTATGTGCAGTCATGCAAGAGTGCCTTCTAAGGAATTGCAAGCACTGCACTCTACTTTCCATTGAGCGGCCCACCAAATCAGTAATTTGCAACACAAAAGGGATGAAGTTGATCTAACAAAAAGAACCGTTCTTTGGAGAATTACAAGACTGACTTGGCACTTGCTGATGGTTCGCTCGGAAAGATTTTCTGAACCCTGAAGGAGTTATTGTTTTGAAGTTCCGGTTTCTTAAGCTAGCCCAAACTTGATTTGTGCTTTCCCAAAATGTATAGGCCAGGCCCGGTTTATTATTTTGTTTTTTTAGAGTTCTAATTGCAATTTTTATCATTGTCATTGGGACAGCGAAGTTGTGAGGAGTTCATATTCCATAATCCAATGCAAAGGGCCTAGAATATTTCCCTTTTGACCATTTCTAACTCTGTCTATTTGAAGATAACGATCTAAAATTCTCCTATCTGAAATCATCAAAAAACCAAAAACAACAAATTCAGATAATTCCCTCTTTTGGACCTCTCCTGCTGTTTCATAGCCTATAATCACTCATTCTTCAATCTTCTTCATGAACAAAATCAGGATTTCAGTTTCATTGATCCAAGAAAATTATTTGATGTTTCATAGAGCCAGTCTGTTGACTTGTACACTATATAGCATTCTTTATGTTTCAAGATCTTGAGTTTCTCTGATCACTATTTTTTCAAGAAGATGGCAGAGTTGAAATCTGGGGTTCTTGTGAAGTTTCTTCAAGAAATGGATGTTGATGGAAACACAATACGCGATTGTAAGCCCGTGTTGTTACAGATTAGAAGTATAATTCCTCTGTTAAGAGAAGGTAATCTTTGGCCTAATCAAGGATTCTTTTTGAAGATCTCGGATTTGACACATGCATTGTTTGTTTCATTGCCTCAAGAACAAGATGAATTGATTCTATATGACAAATTGCATCTTGGGCAATTCATGTATGTGGAGAAATTGGAGGCTGCATATCCAGTTCCAATGCTCAGAGGCATTAAGCCTCTTCCAGGAAGGCATCCATGTTATGGGAATCCTAAAGAACTTCTCTCGATTGATAATTTGAAAAAATTTCTTGGTGTATCCAGTTTGGAAACTATGGTTGAGGATTGCATTGAGGTACCGAAGAAGACAGAAACGGAAAAGCCTCGATCTTTAAGTGTTCCGAAAGTAAGTGCATATGAGGGGACAGGTTATAAAACCGGGGGCCCTAATTGCATTACTGATCAAGGTGGTAGTGATATGGTAAAGAAACCAGGCGTAGGATCTCGCTCCATTAGTGCTTCAATAATAAGCTCACGTGAAGGAATGCCTAGAAGGGCACCGAATTACAGGCCTCACAAGGTAGAAGTTGAGAGTGCCTTGAGTCACAGGCATAAAAAGAGTGGTGCTGGAAGCAATTATAAGGGACTTGCGAGACATAAATCCACGAATGCTTATGAAGATAGTGATATGGAAAGTACAATGTCATTCAACTCTACATCATCAACATTCAAGAGAAGAAGCTGGCATGGTAGGGAAGCTCCAGCAATTGATATTTCTGACACCCCTATTGACAAGAATGATTTCGGGATTGATACTAGAAGCAGCAGACTTTCTGTGAGTTCTTGAACTTCTTTGCACCTTTGTCATATAACTGGTGAAGGTTGTGGTCTCAAGATTCTGTGACTTCTCAAGAAGAATGAATCATGGATTACGGATAGTTATCATTAAACAAACTGGAGCACAAAGCTGTGTAACAAAACTTGGCTGCATATTTCGAACTTAAAAAAGTAGAAATTCAAAATGTTTTTAGCCCAATTATCAAATATACTAGGGAAACAATGGAATTCTTCCTATTTTCTCAATTTCACAAAAGATTTTTCTCCAACAAAATAATTCATATTTAAGGAGTAATTACTGAATCAATTTACGATTCAATGATTTAAAATCATGTTTTTGCCATATGAAATGGTTGCTTTGTTCTAGTAATGTGTGCTTCTCAAGAAGTTCTTTAATCTCTTCATTCCGCTAATATTTTAAAATAACTCCATGCTGTCTCTTCATGGACAGATTTCGCCAATTAATTCGTTGAAGTATGATAGCTCTGATGACAATTCAAGCTCCAGATCGAAAAGAACAGTTGTTAGTTTATCCACAAAATCATCCAAGATATCCAGCAAGGGTAGCCGTATCTCAGTGCCAGGAAAAATAAGTGAAGATTATGTTGATAGAAAAGTGAATTTCAGTTCGTTAAGCAATAAAAACTCAGCAGGCACTAACATATCATGCGATTTCCTTCCCTCTACTCTGGTGAAACTTGGCCAGGTATTGCATGTGCTGTACTTAGCTAAACTTTATGAGCACTTACCTTGACTATCTGTCTGATAAATGGGTTGATATGTTCTGCAGGAGGTGTCAAGACAAAGAGACATTGCTCTGCTTGCTGCTGTTGAAACTTTGCAAGAGGCTTCTGCTGCTGAAAGATTGCTCAAATGCCTAAGGTCTGCATATTTATGCTTCTGGAGTGTAATTTCAGGAGCTGCCAACATTCTGTTGCACATCATTCAGATCATGGATATAATTTAATTATTTTACTCGGTTAAAATTTCTTCCTAATATGTGAGCTTTACCCTTTCTTTTGGTAAGAGCATGTGTCCCTACGAGCACTTGATTACCTTATCCTTGCAACTTGGCAGCTTCATGCATGAAGGTTTCTGCATGACAGGAATGAACTTATTTACCAGTCTGTTTCGTTCTCTTTTCCATTTACTCATGACAGATATGAGCAAGTATAAGCTGTGATTGAATCAGTTACGACTTCAACAGTCACTAGACTAACCTTCCTTCTCCCACTTTTCTCAGCACATACTCCCAGCTTCTGAAGGCGAAGGGGAATGATCAGCAACTATCAGTTGACAAATTCTTTACTCTTCAAGATGACTTGACTAATACCAGGTTAATTTTGCATTCACTAACGAGTATTGGTCAGCGAAGAACAGCTGATACCGATCCAAATGCCCCTAATGCTGTTGGGGAAGCACTAAGACTCGCATTAGACAGAAAGCAAAACGCCACTTCATGGACTAAAGCTGCCGTGGCATCAGATCTCAACCTTATTTCTGATCACAGCAAAACCAAAACTCTTTTTCTAGAGGCTACGAGTGCAGAAAAATCATCAACTAAATCCATTCGTGGCAAACGTAAAGAGGGATTGTCTAGGAAACAGGTAAGCAATGATGAATTGTATGCTGGGTTGGCACTTGACATGGACAAGCAACCAGATTGGGTGAAAGGGAGTGTTTCACCTGTATGTGCTGAACTAGCAAATTCCTTGAACGATGAAAGTAGAACATGGTTTTTGAGTAACCTTGAGGAATACTTAGATTGGGTCAGTAGCAAAACAAATTCCAGAAAGTCTGATAGCCAGGTAGCTGAAATGATGTTCATGATCAAGAGAGTGAATGACTGGGTAGAGAATGTGAGACGCAAAGACGGTTCCTCATTGAAGGATTCTGAATTAGAAGCTTGCGGGAGGGTGAGGAACAAAATATATGAAATACTGTTGAAGCACGTTGAGAGAACCTGTCAAGAATCCAATGGTTGATCCCGGCGAGAGACATTAGCGACGAGGTTAGCTTGTACGCAACAGTTAGAAGATCTGTACTGAGATTTTCCCAGTTGCAGAAGTACTATTCCGCCACTAATGTACGGTGTTGTGCCCATGGAGGCAGAGACTAACAGGCAAGAGAAGAGGGGCGGTTCCTCATTGTTTTCATTAAATTCACAATAGTCCTTAATAGTCTTATAAGTTCCCAAACCCCCCCCCCCCTCGGGGGCGGGTGCCTCCTTGGAATTATAATATTGTTGGAATATGATAATTTATTTTTTTAACATATGATAATTTAATAATTTAAGTGTACAGAATTAAAAATAGATTGTTTAATTATAGGCAAATGCGTAATTGCGTGACGCAATTGCAAGATGATGAGACACAAAAACTTGGCCCCACCACGTGTAAAAATCAGGTTTTTATTGAAGGGCCAGATATTCGCTGTGGTGAACCACCATCAATACGTGATAGAGATTAATTAAGGTGTCAGTATCCACACGATAAGAATCCAATACTTTATCGTCGGCTTCGACTTTCTGTTCTTTCTTTTTATTACAAAATTATAAAAAATGTCACAATAAGTGACTTGTCCATCTAAGATTGGTTGTGCTTTGTCATCCTAACTCGTAATTGGTCAACTGGGTAGAAAAATCTCATGGGATCAACTTGTAATGATTGACCCGTGAATTGAGTGGTCTGAAAGCACTTGAACAACCAAAATTCAGCGGCTATTTTTCTTATTACAATGCTTTAAAAAACACAAAATTTGGCAAAATAATAAGGGGTAAAAGTGCATGGTTTGTAAATGTCAAGACATATTTTAACGTTCCTCAATGGTTTCGGGTTCAAGTACTTAGTTATTCATGTAATAATCACCGAAAACTTACATGATTGTTAACTTCAAGGCCTGTGAGATTAGTCATGGTGCGCGTAAGCTGACCCGGACACCCACGTTAATCTAAAAAAAACATATTTTAACGTGTTGTTATTCAAAAATATGATATTTTATTATTATTATTATTATTTAAATTATGTTATTTTGCTAAAATAAATTTAAAAATAATGTGCTAATTTTTTTAAAATCATTTCTTAAAAGTTATCTAAAAAGATACGAGGACAAGATTAATTAATAATATATTTTTTATGAAAATAAATAAATGGGTGCATAAATAGTGGATCATACATGAAAATATTTTACTGTATCTTTCAAAATTATATAAAAGTTAGGAAAAACTATATTAGGGTTAAATAATGATTACCTAAAAAATACATTTTAAACTCTAGTTTAACAAAAAAAAAATCACAAAATAATTAAATTATTTTTTCATATGTATATATACATATGAAAAGTAATAATATACATGAAAAATAATAATACGACAAATCATTACACCCTTATAAATTAAGTTTGTTGGTTATGAGCTTTATTTTACTTAAATGTATTAAAGAGATGTAGAGGTGGTAAGTCACCATATATTTTTTGTTATACGCTCAGAGATGTGAAAAGAATAGAATTCAAAATATATTGGGTCAAAAAAATATCAAGGAGTTCACGTGGGGTCTTAAAAAATAGGGTTTGAAGGGTTGGGTTCTAGTTGTGTTGTTGATCCTGATTAGCTCTAAAAATAAGCCACAACATATTGCTTGGACCCATAGATGGTAAGCCTTAGGTGTCACACCCGAGTCTATAAGCGGTTGGCCCCAATTATTTGCTTGGGCTCATGGTTTTTTGGGCTTTTAAGGGTTTTTTAAACCTATTAAAGTTAGATTTGGTTCAAAAAACTTTGTTTTGAAAACTACTAATTAATTTTGATTCATCAGTAGTCTTAGAAGTTTTTACAATATTGATATATAAAAACTTATAAAAATATTTGATTACCATGACTAATTTGTTAAATTTTCTTTGTATAAGAACAAAAGTAATTTACTGGAGAACCTATATATAGCGTTGTGCATCATGATTAAAAAAAAAATATTTATATCATATGAGAATACTTGAACAAAATTCACACTTAGAAAAAAAAATTAGGAAGTTAAAGGGAACCAATTATAGAAACCTGCATTAGAATAATTTTATAGGAGGTTAAGGGGAACCTGTAAAGAAACTCATACTTAGAAAATCTTATATAAGAAGTTAAGGGGAGCCCATACTTAGAAAAATATTTTTAGGAGGCTGAGAGGAACCCATAAAGAAACTCATACTTCAAAAGTTTTAAAAGAAGCTGAAGCTAAGAGGAATCTATTCCATGAAGGGTTATCTATGATGATAGTGTGAGACCTAAAAAACCCCTAGAAAGTTGTGCTAATTCAAGATTATATTGGAGAGTGAGAGGTTTGTGACCTTTAAAGTGATGGTTTAGGGCTTAAAAGCCCCCTATTATAGAGAGATCACATTAGGAGTAGAAGGTATATGGCCTTCCTAACAATGATATGGGGCTCAAAATCTCACTATTGGATAAAAATCTCATTGAAGAGTGAGAGTTTTGTGGCTTCCCTGATAATGGTGTGGGGATTGTGAGCCACTCACTAAAAATAGAAAGATCTAATATCATACTTGGAGATATCACGAGGCTTGTGAGCCTTACTAGAGAGTCATGCTGGTTTGATATTATATTAAAGGGGTAGATTTGAGATCAATCCCTAGAGATTACGTGATGCTTAAAAGTTCTATTAGAGAGTCATGTCAGTTTGAGATTGCACTAGAGAACAAGAAATCAAAGATCAATTCCTGGAGATTGCGTAAAGCTTGAGAGCCCTACTAGAAAGTCATGTCAATCAAGACTGGATTGAAGAGTAAAAGATCTAGGTTCAATCCCCAAAAATTATGTAAGGCCCAAGAGCCATACTAGAGAGTCATGTTAGTTCAAGACTGTACTAGAGAGCTATAAATAAAAAATATATATAAGAGATACAATATTTTTATTTCAAAAATAAACTTACATTCTTATTAAGAATAATGCATCTTAAGGTTATCTAAGTGTCAAATATGAAGAAGATTCTTCAAACCATATCTTGGAGGTGATATGTGTTTACTTTAACTACACTAATAACTTTGAATGAGTTATCATAATTTGATTCAAGGGTGTAGTAAGCTTTTAGGATACACCAAACATTCATAAGTTGGTTACTCCTAGTTCTTCCCTGAGCTTTCATTCCTATTAAAAGAATGACTCTACTTAGAAGGTTTTCCATGTTGGTTATCCTTATAAAAACATTAAGGCTCATGTCATAACATATTTGTCTCTTCCACTCATATATAATTTTCTATGACTTACTTCACATCGAGCAAGTTTCTATCTAGTAAGGCATAAAGCTTTCTCTGTATAACATGTTCACTTACCCTTTTTATTAAGGCCTTTAAGGCAACCGAATCAAGCAACTCTTTCATTTTAAACATCTTTAAGTATGTTTGAGTTGGTTCACCCTCTGACTGGGCAATCCCAAATAGCTTTGTAGAGCTTTTTTTAATGAGTATATTGGTGCTAAAACATGCCACTAGTTTGAAATAGAGATAACTAAATCCTTCAATAGAGCTTGGCTCTATATTATTATAATAAACATGCGTAGACCACCAGAAGGTTGTAGAGCGGATTTTGCATATTGAATCACTATCTTAGATAACTAACTTTGAGTTATTTTGCATATTTTACACATAATCCCTTGGGTTGGAAAGGCCATCATAATTGTCCAATCTTATTTTTATAGAAATATAATCCTTAGAAAATCAAGTGTTCAATACTTGTTTGGACAAAAAAAAACATTTCACCTAATAGAGGTTATAGATATGCTCATGGTTATTTGTTTGTTTAGCTTTAAAGAGCTTAGGGAGTTTAATGTGGAATAGTGGGATCGTTAACATGTGTTCATCATATGGTAGCTAATAAGAGCACATCTGGAGTATTAAATGTTTGTATGAGTATTGCAACAATGTGAATGACCTATTGAGGGATTTAGTGAACGTCAAGGTAAAACACTCTATGAAATATAATTCTTTCTAAGCTCCTTAAAGTAGTGTAATTATCTACAGATACTAGGAGCGGTTGGTGGCAGCGGCATTTAAGTGTTGTGTGTTGGTGAGGATAATAGGATCTAATTTTCCCCAAAAATTACCATCATAACCTCAGTAAGAAGTTGTACTTGATTAACGAGTTATTAAAAGTTTACACGGGTAATAATGCTTAAGATAACAAGTAGATTCGTCATGCGTCCTAGCCTAGGTTGTTTTGGTTATCTATTGTAGAATGACCTTGAAATATCA